ATGTGTATGCAATTGCTGTTGTCTTGTAATCCAAAAGTAATCATATCTGCTCACTTACCTTGGTGGTCTTAGATGGTTTTACTGTAATAGTGACCGTAGATGAATTGCAATTTCTGCGAAACAGTAAGTCCAGCACTTTATGACGCAAATTTTTGTTGAACACTAGATAGATGGTTGGATTGGCCTTAAATTTTAAAAATATCTGCATTACAAACTTCACTTGTAAAATTAAAGTCTCACTGCATTACTGAAAACGGAAAATGTCATCATCGCGAAGTAAATCCATTTTGATAGCGACACACAAGGTAACCACTGCCATGATGTCCATGTCAGCACATAAACTAAGGACACAGCAAGAAACTGCAACTTTTTTCTTCAATTAATAGTTTCATGCTCACATTTGATACAGCGCTTCACTGACAGAAAAATTATCTCATTTTTTGCAATGAATATTCGAATATACAAGTTGCTACTGCGAAAAGATTAAAATTGCTATCAGGCAAAATTTAGTCAATAAGACTAGTTCAGTAGCATTATAAATCATAACATTTGGAGAATTAACAGGAACTTTATCTCGATTAAACATGGGTTTCAACAAACAGTTTTACTCAGAAATACGCAAGAACTTTAGAAATTTACGTACTTCAAAGCGCCGCAAAAGCCTCAATTGAGCTCCTAATAAATTTTTCAGATTTTAATGCGACAATACATGAAATGTCGTTGCTAAATGCTAAAAAAAGCCCATACCTGAACAAGTAAACGAATTTCGGTTTTAGCAGATCGCTTGTTGTTTTCTGTGCTATTTGCAAATTCCTAGAATGGGTCAGCAGTGTGCACTTTAGCATGATAACTTGAAAATTGTAATTAACCTGAGATTGTTGACGAAGTCTGCGAATTTTCATCAGTACAGCAGCGTAGAAAACTATCGATATTGTTAGAACCGTTGTGTTCAATCCCAGATCCACAAATCTGTACCTGTAGCAAAGAATTTGTTTATTTTTAAAGTATTTCAAGCCTTTCACAAGTTTTTAGTATTTTCTTCTCCTGCTGGATTAATTGATCTGAATTAGAATCTTTGGCAGATTTGCAACAAAATGGTACCTTTATGTATGAGGTTTAAAGAGCAAAGATAAGTTTTACTTTCAACTTTTCAGAGGTGCACAAGTGAGTTTACATCTCATCTCAAGTTATTATTTTCCAAGGTTACAAGGAAGTTTCACTATTTTTTTTTCAAAAGTTTGCTTACCATGTTTCTGGATCAACATAAAATGTTATATAGTTGTACGAGTCCCACAATATGTAGCAGCATGGTAGGAGCATAGGAAGAGATAAACTAAGTCCCAAAAAGTAGCATAACCCTAATAGGCAAGCAGTATTCCTCTTGGAAAATAGTGATGGGTAATATGCGGGACAAACAATGCAGATGAATCTGCAGAGATAGTTAATACACCAATATAATCTGATAATTTGCTACTCATCGTACAACCTGTTGATTGCCATCAAAGCAAAGTGAATAACTGCTGTGTACCAAAAAAAATTATAAGATAGTATCATCCAAAAGTTGGTGAGTGCATCAATTTTGGAGAGATTGTCATGTAGTAAAATTGATGGAATCGCATAGCACAAAACAAACATGCTCATGCTAGTTTCGCATATAGTGGAGGAAATTATAATCCAGTAGCTGAATGTGCAGATTTCTTACGGTATACGTAAAAGATAAGACTCACCTGGGAAATGTGCGCATTTCAACGCTTCTGCCGACCAAAATGAATAGCAAAATGTTTGCAGCTAGCGAGTACAAAGATAGCGTGAACCATGTACCGGCGACGATAAAATCCAAGGTTTGTTGTTCCATGTGGACGTTCCACTGCGTTTTAAAGTTACATCATCATGTTCTTATTAGTTCAAAAGTCTTGAAGCCATGGTTTTTTTTTGTACAAGAGCAATATCTGCACAGATATGGCACTTAGCAAAATAGTAGGTTCGATTACTTAGTTGGATATAAGGTCGAAACACTATAAAAACAAAACACTCCAATATGGGTCCTACTCTAATCAACTGTAGGAAGTTGGTTATCAAAAAAGT